GGGGGGACGCCGTGTAATGACGTGTGTACCCGCCTGTAGCGCGCTGCGGCACACGGTGGGGGTGGGCAGGGCAGGGCAGAGCAGTGTCCTGCACAGGGGGCTGTTGACGGCAACGTGCTCGCACTGGCGCCCCCACCCCCAAACTGTTCCCAGCAATTGCTGTGGGCTGGAGCTGGGCCCCGTTGACTTCCTTCCTCGCAGTCCCGCTTCCTTGCAAAGCCGCACTGAGCCAGCGACCCGGGGGACTCGCAGCGCTCCTTTCCGAGGCGATCACATTTCCATTGCTTTTCACGCGAATCAGGACAGGTGCATGTTATCGTCCTGTGGCCAAGCTCCAGCTCAGTAGTTTGGCCTTCCTCTTGCAGCAGATTTCACCAGGCCGGTGGTGGATAGTCTGTGTGCACTGGGAGCCTTCTCCCAAACGCATGAACTACATGTGCCCCTGGCAGCTGGAGGGGCATGGTGGCACTGGTGGCAGCAGTAAGTGGGGAGCTCCTCCAGATGCTGCTGGTGCTGTCGGCAACAGGCTGGGGAGGAGAGAGGGGGTGGCGAGCACCCACCAGGGGTCAGCGACCACCTGCAGATGCTGCCAATAGCATTGGCGGCAGCCAGCGGTGATTGCTGGCTGCCCACAGACAGGGCCGGCAGTGTTGTTGCGGTGGGGGGAAAGGGGGTGGTGGCAATGTTAGCAGCGCCTATTTGTAGGGGTTGTACCACCACATTCGTGGTGCACATGTGCCCCCTACGCATCGCTAATGTCCAAACATGATTTTTGTCACGTGGACACAGGAAAAAATGGAAGGTGGACAACTGCCCTGAGAACCCATGCCATGACCAGATGGTCTTTTTCAACTGTTGTGTAGTTTTTTTCTCCCTGGGGTGCAGTTTTTGGCTCAGGTGCACAATAGGGTGTCTCCCCCACTTTCTAGTACATCTCAACCCCAGGACGTCCCTTGTTTCTAAAGTGGAGCCATATATTAGTGACTTGATGGTTCAAGGGAAAGGGTAACATGAATAGCTGGTTGTTCACTAACAGCAAACAGGGAGGTTCCTACAATCCATAGGTCTCATGTGGTTCTCGAGCCTGAAACCTGCCAATTGCCGAGACAAATGTCCAAACCAAAGGGTGACCATATGGGACGATAGGAAATCTTGGATGCTGCCTCTGACCCACCTCCAAGTGGGTGGTGCTGCTGCAGACAGAGGAAGAGTGGCATGGTGTGCCAGGCAGGGGGGCAGCAGCAGTGCCTGCCTGCCAATCTGGCACCCCATGGCACTCTGCCTCCCTGCTGGACTGTGCCTCGCACCCTGTGATTCTGGGACTCACTTCAATTTTCGCCAACCCGCTGGGTCCAGCGTATGAAATCCAGGACTGTCCTGGCCAAACCAGGACACAGTCACCCACCAATGCATCATTTTATCCCTGTTAGGAAGAAACCTATTCCTTTGCCAGTCATAGTCCATGGATTTCTACCAACTGACCTGGCAGGGGAAATTCCATGACCAAGGTGATGCAATTAAAATAGCACTGCGCAGTGGAGTGCTGCACCCTTGTCTGCTTGTGGACAGGACTCCCTACGAAAGCTTCATAGTTAGCTTACCACTGGCCAGCTTCCAGTGGGAGGATCTTGGCTACATGTTGACTGTATGGAAATGGGAGACTCCTCCCTAGCTGCTTCTGTGGCCATATGGCTAAGGGCAAGCGAAACTTGGGGGCATCTGAACCCCAAGCCTCCAGGCTTGGGCTTGCACATAGGATGCTTGCCAAAGGATTTGGAAGTATCTGAAACCCCAGGCTGGGGTGGATGATACTTGCTTACAGCAGGGCCACATATGGTTGAAATGATTAAACAGATTAAATGGTTTAAATGATTCAAACGGATTTGGACCTGATCTGGCTAATTTGACCTGAGACATGAAAAAATTTCCTTAAAAAAAAAGCACAACAAAAAAACAACAAAAACAACTTCCCCCCCTCCCCCCCCACTTTATGTATGTTAAAATTGGCCTTCAGCCTTGAAAAATCATTGCATTTTGTGGCAACAACATTGCTTTCCAATAGGCTGTCATTTTTTTAATGGTAGTGCAACATTGTGCCTTTGGTGGAGAAGCTTGTTCAGTTGGATTCATTTAAAAATTGAAACAGAAGATGTAAATCTTTCAAGGAATGTAATTTCAAGATAGAACCAATGCAACAGCTCTTATGAGCTCTATGAGACTAGGTCCCAAAAGGAAAGGTTGAAAAGGAGGTTAAAAGTTTTCACAACAACCTCAGGAATAGATTGTGCCAAGTAGTTGTGGTCATTATCTTCAGGCTTTTCATTGTCTGTATGGAATCACATCTAGAAGTTTTTAGCTGTTTACTGCCCAAGAATTTGTTACATACCAGGTCTGAGTGTGAAAATGAGAATGCATGAACCTTCTACTATTGGCTATCAGTTGTAGGCTAGCAAAATTTAAATTGATTTCTTGGGGGTGTAATTACAACCTGAAAAACACCATATAAACCAAATGGGAGAAACCTTCAGCAAGAAGAAGGAAAGGCCAGAATCAGCCTATTTAATTTGGTTTCATAATCTGCAATTTTATGTGACAAATGACTTTACTATGCAATGCAAAGAGCAGCTAAGTGAAAAGTCTTAATATAGCACCAAGTTCTTTGCCAAATTATATCCAAATAATGCCTGAACTTATCTTGTGAGCATTGTCCCAAAATTGTTGGCGGAACTCATTGTTTTTGTGCATCCTAAACATGAGAGCAGCTGAGAATTACAGTGGGATGGATGCTAGATGTCTGTAGGCAGAAGACGTGAGTCAAAACGGAGCCCCCCTCCCTTAAGCTAAACAGTAAGAACATTACAAAACTTGTCTCAGCTGCAAGTTGCTGTTTGTATGTAAAAATAGATAGTCACAAACAAAAAGAAATTCTTATTTGTTATACTTAACGTGGCAGTGTTGTGGCTAGGAAGCAGAAGAACTCACAATGCACAGAGTTATACCGGCTGAATGACTTTGCCACTATTGTTGTGTTGCATTGTGATACTTAGGTTTAGATCTTCTATATTTTTAACTATCACAACTCTTTTAAAATCTACTTTTAATGTTTCTAGGTAGCAGACATGAATCTGCAGGACCAACCACAAACATGGTCAAATATTGGCTCTAAAATAAGCATACAGGAACATGTCACTCCAAACTACATTTTCATTGGTGGAAATTGCCTTCTCAGCAGTGTTTTGGAGGGTAGGGGTACTGTCAGCAGGGATATGAGCTGCAGTGGAAACAGGGAGCAAAAGCTAAAGGCTAAATGCTGCAAGATCTTTACCAATCAAAGGAAACATGCAGTTTTAGGAAGCAGAACAAGCTTTTTTCTCTGCAGTAATTTCTTCTCAGCAAGGACAAATACACTTCCCTACCTCAAACAGAAAAGAATGAGGGGAAAACATTCTATCTTGAAACTCACTGAATTTCCACACACCCATCATGAGGCTATAGCTTGTGCAGGGGAGTGTGGGAAGGCCAGCTTCTTGAGTGAAACAAAACTCAATGGAAGAAATTTGGGATTTGAATCTCCAATAAGCCAAGACAGAGGTCCAAAGGAGGACCTATGATATGAAGAACAAATGTTGGGAAGACAAGGCTAAGGAGATTCAACATCTTGCTGACAACCATAATATGCGTGGTTTCTTCAGTGCCACCAAAACCATCTACAGTCTGAGCGCTCAGGGACCAACGCCTTTGAGACCTAAGAATGGAGGAGACTTGATCAAGAAAAGGGGAGCCATTAATGCCCATTGGAAGGAGCATTTTGAAGACCTTCTCAAGTGAGACCATGCTGTTGATGAAAGTCTTCTCAACTCCGTCCTGCAACACGTAGTCAGAGATGAGCTCAGAATCCCTGCAACCCTTGACGAAGTGAGGAAAGCCATCAAGGAAATGAAGAATGACTAGGCATCTGAAGTGGATGGAGTCCCTGTGGAAATCTTCAAGCAGGGGAGAGAAGAGCACACATTACAGCTTTATTCCCTCATCTTAAGGATCTGGAATGATGAGGAAATCCCAGATGACCTCAGGGTGCCATTACTGTGACAGTCTTCAAGAAAGGAGGCAAGTCTTCTGGAAAGTACAGAGGGATTTCCTTGCTGTCCACCACAGGAAAGATCATTACGAGAACCCTCCTGAACCATCTCCTTCAACTTGCTGAAGGGCTTTTCCTGAAATCTCAGTGTGGGCTTAGGGCATCAAGAGGCACACACAACTGACATGATCTTCACAGCTCACTAGCTGCAGAAGAAATGCCAGGAACAACATAAGCTTCTCTATATGACCTTCCTTGACCTCACAAAAGCTTTTGACTCTGTCAGCCAAGAAGTGTTGTGGATGATCCTTCTGAAGTCCAGATGCCCACTGAAATTTGTCACCATTCTCTGCCTGCTCCATGCCAGTATACAAGTGGTGGTTCTCAGTAATGGATCTATCGCAGAACCCTCTGCAGTTAAAACAGGAGTTAAGCATCATCACGACTCTTCTCAATATTCCTTACCACGATGTTACATCTGACCACCAACAAGCTGCCAGCCAGAGTGGAGCTAAACTACGAAA